AATTCAAATATAAAATTTTATTAATTAATACAAAAATAATATTAGATCCGTAATCAAATATAATAATTTATAGCTAAATATGTTTTTTCAAAACATGGAAACTTTTGATTTATTATTTAACTTAAGTCACAAAATTGTTTTAAATAATGAAAATATTTAGTAAAATATAATGTAATTTAATTTATACGCTAATAAAGTGATTGATTGCATAAAACACAGTGTATTACACTGATAAATATCCGATCATAAAGTTATTTCCTGTCATTAATTACACCATTGAAAGGCATGCCTAACAAGTGTTTGACAAAAAATATATTGATTTCTGTTTATTCAATCAGTATTTATACAAAACTATGTTTTCAATGAACTTATTTTCTAAGATATATATAGAAAAGAAAATCAATTTAAATTTGTTGTAAGATATGGTAATTTAAAACAAACAATAATTAATAAAATTGATTACAAGTTAAGCAAACTATTATTAACAAAATCTTTAAATTCCAACTAAATATAGATTATTTTATAGAAATTGATTCAAGATTACTTTTAAAATACTAGTACAGTATATTCTGCACTTTAACTTTTCCCTATAAAATTACCAATATAATAATTAAATTCTAGACTTTATTAATTGAAAGATTTATATATTTGCGTCAATTATTTGTTACCGTAATTAAAAAATTATTAGAAATGCTTTTAAAGGCCTTTTAAATAACTGTATTACCCTGAAACATTTAGAAGCGATTAGTACGAGTGATTATTTTCTGACAAACAGGTAATGTTTTTTGATAACTTATACAAATTTTTTGTTAAATAATTTGAACTCCGATTCTGTGTCTAATACTCATATGAATTATCAAAACTGTGATTTTTAAATCAAGCATTTAAATAAACTACTGATTTATCGCCAGAACTAACTCATGATGACATAAATGGCTACTATTTTTGCACTTAATTTAGTACATGTCTTAACATGACTTAACCAAAACAACCCATCAATCTGCCGGTGCTTTTGAGTCAAAACAGAGTTCTTTTAATTTGTTGGCAACAAGTAGTCTAATAAATTGTGTTAATCTTGTATAATGCACTAAATGTTAGAATTAAAATTCAAGTATTTACCCTGTTGTTTGATAATTAGTGCAAAACTTTATTTTTAAAATTATAATCTAATAAAGAACGCTAGGTAACAAGTACACATTTTGGCAAAGTACTTAAATATAATGCACTTATTACAATGAAAGTAAAATATTTGCATTGTAAATTATGTATTATACAATAGTATTTTAACATTATTATAATAAAGCTTTCACTATAGATAACCTTCGTTATCGGCTATCAATACTGCAAATATTGTTTGACTTATTCCGGTTTATTATATAATTTATCATAAAGTTTTATTTGTATTTTTAAACTCATGACAAACCAGAAAAATGCACTAAAAATGTTATTAATGTAAAGTATTTTGCATTCATTGACAAAATTATGATATAAATCTTGTTATGATTACATAAAAATTTGTCCATTAAATAAAAAAAACAATCCATTAAATATTTCATTTAATAATTGAACATAAAAATGAATTAAAAATAGTATAAAATCTCACTATTGTAATGATATAATAACTCACTTTTTATAAAAAGGGAAACTTTCAAAAATATTCATCAATTGCATTCGTATTAAAAACAAAAACAATACAAATCTTTATACAAATACTAGGAATTTAATGAATGATAAACTCAGTATAAAAGTACTGAATAATATTAAAAATATATAAATTAATGTTAATTTCTAGCTTATCATTAAATAAAGTTTTTAATTCATTGATAACATAGTAAACTAAATACACGCTAATATTGAACACACGATTAACCTATCATTTAAACAGTTCATCAAAACAATAGCTTAATTCTTGCGGTGTTTGTGGCGGTAGTATTGGGTGGAGAGATAACAGTCCCCCTTATCAATGGTAGCGGTGTTTATGCGGACTTTGGCTAATCGACACTAACCCACCCGGTTATCTGATCCCAATCCCAAATGAGACACATCAGGACTTACATCACTCGCCTGTGGATTAGTGCACCAAAAGAGTAAATATTATCATATATTTTGACACTATTTTTAACAAACTTTTTCATATATGTTTCAAAAATCAATTTATTTCTCACTTACGCCACCAAACGTTTATCCATACATTTCATGTCATTTATTAATAAGTTTTTATATGTGTTTTATTTTATGTTGGTGTATTTTTTTTTATTTGATACATTTATACAATACATCACAAATAGTTTTTTTCCTAATGTTTCATTAGTTTACTATAAACTCGCAAAACCACCACATTTTATATCATTTATTATTTTCTTAACATTCTGTATATAAATACTTATTATTTATAAACTCGTGTTAATTATGTCTAAAACTTATACCTCATATAAACTCGTCAGTAGTGATGGAAACACACAAAAGGACAGTGAGTTTGAGTCTACAGACCCTCACCCGGATGATGAGGACGAGGACCCGAGACTTACATCGTGTGGTGTGGGCTCGTGGCGACCCCAGTGGCTACAGGTGTTCGCCAGTCCCATGTTTTTTACCATAAACTTTGCATTGATTGGTATAATACAAGGGATGACCGGAACTTATTTTGTCGGATCCATGAGTACTCTGGAGAAGAGGTTTGCCTTTGACTCCAAGATATCGGGGTTTATATTAATCGCCGATAACTTCTCGCAAATGCTGGTGAGTCTACAAAAACGATTTGTTTGATTATCTTGCTTATATCATAGTTAGTATGTAAAGTAATTATAAGAATACTAATAAATTCTGCATTTTTAATAACTTTATGTTTATTTCAGTAAACTAAAAGTAAGAAATCATATTACTTTTGTAGATTAGCAAGGCTTAATATAATTAATTAGTCAAATGTGTCCAGAATAATATATTTTGACATAATAATATATTAGAATAGTAAATACCTTTCGAGTTATATTTTAAATTCAAGAATTATTCTTATTAATAATAAGTTATGAATTGTTTTTAATACATTCTCACAATATTCATCATATCGATTGATTTAGAACAGTATTAAAGAATTAATTAGTATGTACTGGATGACATACTTTATAAATAAATTATATTGAGATTTTGTCATGTATTTCCTTAATGTTGCTGTGTGCAACACTAATTTGACTATTTAATTAGCTTATCTTATTGACTGAATGGATATAATTATAGCAAATTAATAATTTATACAAACAGTTTATTTAGCACAATTTGTTTATTTTGTATGTATTTAAACTAATAGTCTCAATATTATAGCTGTGAATATTAATTCATTTATATCATACCGTAAACACATTTTAGTTTGAATGTTATTCTAAAAGAATCTTGTTTATAAATATAAATTATAATAGGATAAGATACAAATATCAATACTATTTAATTCAATATATCCAGTATACAGTATCCAGTAAAATAGTAATTCAGAATTTTAACAAATTATGAGTTGAATGAAACTATTTCACAATTTTAATTAAATTTAAAAATTGCTGATGTTTCCCCATATCTCAGGTGTTAAAAATATTTTGTTAAATTATTCACCTTTACACCATTACATCTCCATACCTGTCCTCCAATAGTGCAGAATTTAGTTTTAAAATGTTCAAAATATCAGTTTATTTGCAAATTTCAAAATCATATATAATTTGTTTCGAACTTTTAAATAAAGGAGAATGTATTTGATAAGTTATATTTATAAGTGATAAATTATATATAAATTACCTAGTCTATTGTCAATAGATTATTGATAATTACATAGAATTATACTTTTATATGCACTTTAACAGAATTTACCAAATTTTCCTAAAAACAGAATTAAATTATTTTAGTATAACTTGGTTGATATTTATAAATATTATAATACAAATTTACTCAAGTTTATAAAAATTAGAGTACAATTTACAGTATCATGAATATTATGACCAAATAATGTGTCTGTCCTTCATGGGTACAGTATACACATAACCAGTATTTGAACAGTTTTCCTAAACTGCATGTGTTTGTGAAATGTGTTGCTTTCAATGTTCAGACATAAATAAAATGATATTAAATTGAAAGATTATAGCGATGCTTATCTGTATCTCAAATCAAATGGCAATATATTTTATAGACATGTGTTTCATGTGATCATTGAGTTTATACTAGAATTAATAGTTACAAAATCATTAATAATATTAAAAATAATAGGAATACTAAAAAAAGGAATAATACATAAAAGTTTTATAGAATTTAAACCTACTTATTAGCACCTTGGTTATTTAAAATACACAATCAAATATGTATACCTTAAAAATAACAAACAAGAATTGTATAAACAAAAAGTTACAAAAATTTAATTCAAATGATAGGTCAGTCCCATCATTGGCTACTTTGGCAGCCGTGTCAACAGACCGCGTATGATAGCATCGGGTGAGCTCATGCTATCCCTGTCCTGTTNCAGACCGCGTATGATAGCATCGGGTGAGCTCATGCTATCCCTGTCCTGTTTCATGACAGCACTGCCCTACTTCATATACGGCGCCGGCACACACCTACTCCATGATGACAACCTACTGTCCAAATTGGCCAGAAATGAAACTCGATATGAGTTATGTCCGGCCAATCACTCGGACATCGACTGTTCCGGTGGCAAACACTCCACTATATGGTTGGCCGTTGTGTTGCTATGGACGGGTAGTTTCCTGAGGGGACTGGGATTCACGGCTTATTTCGTGATAGGGATGCCATATATTGACGATAGTGTTAGCAAAAAGAATTCACCAATCTACATTAGTGTCATAACCGCACTCAGACTTATAGGGCCGGCCTTGGGTTTCCTACTATCGTCTCTATCGCTCCGGTTTTATGAAAACCCGTTTTGTAAGCAATTTATTACAAAATTTCTATTATTTTTAATATTAGCAGAAAATATATAATTATCTCTATATGTATAGATGACCCTGGTGTAACTCGCCGAGACCCTCGTTTCATAGGAGCATGGTGGATCGGGTTTACAGTGATCGGGATGCTATTATTGTTTGCGGCACTTCCCATGTTCCTATTCCCCAAACAGTTCAAAAATGCTACCGTGAAGGCCAAGGATCTTAAGGAAAATGTCAAAGGCATGAGAGGTAATACCGTGTGATAGATGACTATCATCTACAGTATAGCACCAATCACATTTTATTATACAACTATCAGGTACGGCACAGGCTATCAAAAGATTGGCACAGAATCCTATACTAATGTTTCATTTGGTGGGCAGTACTATACGCTACATAGGAATCGGAGGCTTTTATATATTCAAAACCAAATACATTGAGTCTCAATACCGACAAACTAGTTCAGGTGCCAGTTTCATAACCGGCTCTACATCTATATTACCTATGGCTACAGGTATCATATTAGGCGGCGCTTTAATCACACTCGTTAAGCCCCGACCCCGTACCCTGGTCATATATATGTTTTTAGTGGAGTTAGTAGGAAATGGGGGCATATTCACGGGAATGTTTATGGGCTGTCCACCCATGGAGTTACAGGAGACGCGATATGTTAATAATGAGTATATATTTACAGAATATTCAAATAATACAGTATTTGTATAAATCATCGTATTTTTATGATAGATATTCAATGGTATCAGGGTGCAATCAAGCCTGCGATTGTACTACTAGTGTATTCACACCTATTTGTGCGGCAGACAAGTCAACCACATATTTCTCGCCCTGTTTTGCGGGCTGTAAACAGTTGGACAGACAGACCAATGTATGTCATATT